TTGGGGTTATTTTGTGAAATTTGTGGTTGTTTCGGGTTTGCCAATTCCTTTTAAAAATTGGCTGGCGTCCGACATTTTTCACGTTGGGTCATTCTTTTGTAACAATTAAAAGGGGTTATTTTGAATCCGATGTCAGTTTTTCAAAATGCAAAATGGCGGATGCATGACTTGGTAACTTTTCAGGGTCGCTGGTAACAATTTCGACGTCCGTTTTTTATATTTAAAATGTGCAGATCTACTGTATTAAACGAGTTTTTAAAAAAAATTTCGATTTTTAATAAATTTTAAATCCAGGAGATCTAAAGTCCAATTTTTAAAATTCCACAATTTTTAAGATATTTCTTTAAAACAGTTAAATTTTGAAAATCTGGCTTGAAACTTGGATCTGGTAATTCTAGAAAGAAAGGTAAGGAATGAAACATTTTTTGCACGTATAATACTTAATAATACGTATAATACTTTTTATTTGTTTATTTATATTAATATAATTATATATACAAAATGAAAATTAAAGATTGGGGTTTAGCAATATCTTAAAAATTTAGTGAGGATTATTGTAAGTCAAGAAAATTGAAAAATGTTAAAAAATTATTAGTTTTACGCTGTTTTTAGTGGTTAATGTATATCCTGTCTCAAAAGTGCCAGACGAATGAGAATTTGGCAGTTTTTTTAAAAAAAGGTAGAAACAACATTAAATAAAAAAATAAGTAATTCTATCCAAGCAATTCTATGATATTTTTATAATTTCTCATTCGAATATTCCCACAATATTCCAAAGAAATATTCTAATGAAATATTTTTGCAACATTTCAAACAATCATTTTAAAAAGTGGATATGAATCAATTTAGTTCTTTTTTTACAGTACTCGTTACTACTTTTTTTCCATAAAAGTGGTCACTTCACTAAATTTTTAATAAAATCTTTCCAGTCAAAGGAATCAGTTTAATTCTTTTTTTTATAGTTACCTAAGGCCTCTTGATTGTCACTGATATATACAAGTCTTATAATATCCATTTGCTTAAAAGTTATGAGCCATAAACAAAAGGGTGCCTACAACCGGCACTATTTCCTTATTATGTAAAATCTCAAAAGGGTCAACTTTGAGAGACTTTATCTCGGAAACTATTAGAGCTATTACATTGTTCTTTTTTGCAAATTGTCAGGAATTATGTCAGCTTTAACTTTCCTGTTCGTCATTTAAAAAAAAAACCAATTGTTTCAAAGCTATATTGGAAAAACTGAAAAATACCGGATTTTGGTTAAAGACTAGAAAAAATGGGTGTTTTGCGGAAGCTATATCTCAGTCAATTTTTGAGCTACAGGGTTCATTTTTTTATCAAATTACTCAGAATTTTATACACTTTCTTTTTTATAATAACTATTTTTATGCTAAAATGTCATGGAAGGCGGAAATTTAAAAAAAACTGATTTTTTGCACCTATTTCTTAAAAAATTTTTAGGTTCCGGTAGGAGTTCAATGTACCAAATTTAGGTCCTTCATTTTTACCCCAAAATGAAGGATTTATTAAAAAAATTGAAGTCCTTAGTCAAAACATGTTATGCCATGTTTTTCGACTAATTTGACTGGAATTCTTTGCTTGTTAAACAAATAAATTAGAGTTGGCTCTCAGTTAAGAAACCACCTCACCAAAAATAATATTATTAGTTGTTTCTTACGACGACAACATTAATAATAAAATAATTATAATAATTAGTTAAATAACAATTGTTTAAAACAATTTTTAATTGAAAATTATTATTTAAATAATTTTGTAAAATTGTTAAAATTTTTCTTTGATATATTCTTTTTGTAAATTTGAGTCCCCGAAAATGAACCTGAATCATGATCATATTATCGTTATCTAAAGAAGTAGAATGAGAATCATTCCCTTTAAAAACCAGAAGAAATCCCATTAGACTTCAGTATAAAAATATTCAATTCGAAAGTCCCCACACAGCACGGCAAGTTTTCTAAACCTGTATTAAAGCTATACGTGCCAACTTGGAAAAATTTAGTGGCAAAGCTTAATACAGATTGTGTAAATGTCCGCACTTGAGTAAACGTTTAGCGTAAAAGTTGCCTAAAAATTTTAATTAAATCTTCCATAAAGATTTATCATAAAATTTACTTCAAAATTTAAATTAAATCTTTGTTAAATGTTTAGTACAAAATTTGAATAAAAAAATATATTTAGGTATTATTTAAAAAGTACATATTTTGTTAAAAATTTTTATATTTATATGTATTAAATTTTTGTTAAATTTTTGTTAATATATAAACAAATTTAAAAAATTTTTTAAAAATATAAAAATTTAACAAAATATATAATTTTTAAATAATAAATATATTTTTTTATTTAATTTTTGTACTAAACATTTAACAAAGATTTAATTTAAATTTTCATACAAATTTTACGATAAACCTTTACGGCAGATTTAATTTAAATTTTTAGATAACTTTTACGCTAAACCTTTACCGAAAATTTAATTTAAATAATCAGGCAATTTTTAAGTTAAACCTTTACCAAAGATTTAATTTAAATCTTCATAAAACTTTTACGCTAAACGTTTACTCAAGTGCAGACATTTACACATTTACACAACCTGTATTAAGTTTTGCCACTAAATTTTTCAAAATTGGCACGTACAGCTTTAATGCAGGTTTAGAAAACTTTCGGTGCTGTGTGGGTCAGTACAAAAAAAATCATCACTAAAAACAAGTTCAAGTTTTAAAAAAAATATCTTTAAAAAAACAATACTACGAAATTTTTACTTCTAAACGAGTTCCAAATTTACAACACGAAATTTATTTTCAAGAAAGTTTAAAAAATATTTGAATCCAAATACCACCATTAAAAGAATATATATACAAGGAAAGGATTGGATAATAATTTTCAATTCATTGTAACATTACAACCATTAATAAATGATTTCTTTAAAAAATGACCAACAGGAAAGTTAAAGCTGACATAATTCCTGACAATTTGCAAAAAAAAGAACAATGTAATAGCTCTAATAGTTTCCGAGATAAAGTCTCTCAAAGTTGACCCTTTTGAGATTTTACATAATAAGGGGGGCGATGTCCAAGTTAGCCCCGTGAGGGGAAGCACTATACCCCCACTCTACCGGCCGGGCCATAAACACGGTGCTCGAGGGACGCATGCACCGCGGGGGGCCTAAGCAGCGTTCTCGGGCCTAATGACATTTTCTATTTATGGCTCCTAATGAGTTTTTCATGAAAATTATAAAATTTTTTAATATTAACAATTTTTAATTTTTTTTTAACATTCACATTCCTCATAATTTCACGATTACGAGCATGTGTTGTCCCAATTAAAAATGTTAATATTTAAAATGTTTATAATTTTATAATCGTAATCGTGAAATTATGAGGAATGTGAATATGTTAAAAAAAATTAAAAATTGTTAATATTAAAAAAATTTATAATTTTCATGAAAAACTCATTAGGAGCCATAAATAGAAAATGTCATTAGGCCCGAGAACGCTGCTTAGGCCCCCCGCGGTGCATGCGTCCCTCGAGCTCCGTGTTTATGGCCCGGCCGATAGAGTGGGGGTATAGTGCTTCCCCTCACGGGGCTAACTTGGACACTGCCCAATAAGGGAATAGTGCCGGTTGTAGGCACCCTTTTGTTTATGGGTCATAAATTTTAACCAAATGCATATTATGAGACTTGTGTATATCAGTAGCAATCTAGAGGCCTTAGGTAACTGTAAAAAAAGAACTAAATTGATTCATATCCACTTTTTAAAATGATTTTTTGAAATGTTGCAAGAATATTCTTTGGAATATTGTGGTAATATTCGAATGAGAAATTATAAAAATATTATAATATGAATATCAATATGTATAATATATCATCAATATTCTTGAAAAAAAAATTACATCATATTTTTCGATATGAATATTATCATATTCTTTTACAAGAATAGTCCAACAGAATATTCCTACAATATTCCAAAGGGACATTTCAAAAAGTCGGATATTTTTATATTCTTAGAACATTAATGAAATATTCCAAAAGCATAATTCGAATATAGCAATGGAATATAGTGAGAATATTCCATTAGAATATTGTGAGAATATTCCATTAGAATATTGTTGCATCGACAGCTGTCAACTGTCTAAATTGTCAATTTGACTTCATATTCGTAATCAGCGACCCAAAAATATTTTTAGTTTTTTTTATACCACGTACTTTTATGTATTTTGATGCACTGATTACGAAAATCATAGTGACAATACCCGAAAATTTTATTTGTATGGTGAAAACCGTAAAGAAGTCCTAAAATTTATAATTTTTTTTTATTTATTATATATTGCAAAATTAAAAAAAGACTTTTAGACAAAAATTGTAGATCTTATTAAAATACATTTTTATATCTGATGTACTATTTAAAAATTTTGCATATTTTGACCAATAAACGAAAAAAACAATAAATTTTAGGACATTTTTTATGGTTTTTATCATAATAGTAGAATTTTCGGGGTTTGTCACTATGATTTTTGTAATCAGTGCATCAAAATACATAATATAAAAAAACCAAAAATATGTTTAAAAATTTTTAATTTTGAAAAATTCGTATCTCAAAAACGGCTTGCTAGAAAAATTTGAAAAAATCATGAAAGCTAGTCTTAATTAATATTTAAAGAAAAAAAGTTTTAAAAAATCGGAGATGCAATTGCAGATGGACTTCGAATTTGGCGTGGAATACATCATATATGTATTATACGAGCTATATCATTAGAAATTGTATAAGGGATACATCCATAATTTAGAAGTTGCATCTCTACGGTTAAATAGAATATTATGCAGTTTTTCAAGCATGTGCGGTATAAAAAAATGAAATAATCTTTTATGCAGAAGAATGAATGCGGATCACAATATACTTTCGAGTAAAAATAATTTCAAACTCATTGTGATTTTTCACTGGAATGTATTTTGTTTCTCCTTAATAAAAGAAATTTGTTTAACTTACATCAACTCCTCTAGCAAGGGCAATTGTAATCGGTCTAGACGAATCTAAAACTTTGGTGTGACGAGCGACTTCTTGAAAGTAACTACCAGAACCGGCTAATTGTGTCCTAGGTTCATTAGCAATAGACCAGGCTATTACTGATGGTCGATTCTTGTCTCTTCTAATAAGCTGAGTTAAAGAATCTTTATGCCTTTGCAGTAACGTTGATGAAAAGTTTTCCGTATCAACAGATGGACATTCGTCTATAATCAGAAAACCTCGCCTAAAAGAATATATATATACACTTTAAAAAATTTTTCTTGTAACTTTACCACTTTCTACGTAGGTCCAAAATCTTACCTACTGTGAAAGTGGCATAAGTACATAAAACAGTATAACAGCATCTAGAATGGGGAATTTTACTTTTAGAATTTGTAAATTTACATCTCGTAGTGTAAAAGTACACCACACGGTAATATTAAAGATTATACACTCAAAAAAATTCATGGTAAATTTGACTAAATTTTAACTGTTTCTCCTAGTTCCAGGAGGCACCTATTAACAAAATGTAGTTGAGACAACTATGTAAAAACGGTTAAATCAACTTTAAATTTTAGTAAAAAAAAACTATTCAAAGTAGTAAAATTATTATTATTAATATTGAGATCAATTTTTTCACCCTCTCCTCTACTACATTCGTTTATATATGCCTTATAATATTTAATTTTTGTATACCTAACAGAGGAAAATCCCTAAACTCTGGGGATTGAACGCACGACCCTAACATTCGCAAGCCGACAACTTAACCATCTAACCACACACGCACGCTAAGATAACTTGCATGATATTTCAGAACATTCTTTCAACTACACAAATTATAAAAATAACTATTTTCAACACTTATTTTAACATAACAATTTCTAATAGTAGTTTTAACTATTGAAATGTTGTAAAGCCATTTAAAATTAAATGACAGTTATTACAACTACAAATATTAGTAACTTTAACTAGGTGAAATTGACTACTAAAATTTAGTACCACCAACTGTCTGAGTTTATCTTAAATGGTTCTGAATATGGTACTTTTAACTGCTTTTTTTTAACTACACATTTTCAGTAATTTTTACCAATGCTATTTTTTTGTGTGCAATCGTATTAAAAATATTTTAATTGAAATATATTTTTATATTAAAGAATTATTACTTTTCTTTACTGCAATGAAAAATATGTGATACAAATAATTAAATTTATATAAACATTTATTTGAAACAAATTATTATTATTTGAGTTACAATATATAATAATATATTGAGCAAAACATTTTAGGTTACATATATATTTTTTATTTGTTATATGACTTAAGTCAATAGAAAGAAGTAGCCGCAGGTTACAATTTAGGATTCTATCTGTTTTCCAACTTTTCACACAAGGCCTTGACATAATAATAGAAATTTTTTACTGAGTCGATTGGATCATTTTCCAACATAAAAAGAAATACGCCTTTGATCGTTGTTTCATCCTGGACGGTACAAATGTATTTCATTCGTTCATCAGCGAGATAAGGACATTAAATAAATAGATAATAGCACATTTCAGGGGAATTCAATCCGCATCCACCGCAGACCCCAGAAACACTTAGCTTATAAGATTTTTTGTCAAAAATTATCTTGTTAACTATTTTATTTAATAATCGAATTTGGCTTATAACCATTATTGTGAATTTTATAGGAATTTTATTCTGTAGGTATTTTTGCGGACCTTTGATTAATTCCAAGTGTGGCAGAATCTGCAGTGAACGCGATTCGCTCAGTTTTTTTAGATCTCCGTTGTACAAATAATTTTCATATTTTTTTAACCATGAGTTTTTTTTCGCTTGTAAGAGAGTAATATTTAGATTATCCCATTCTAGTTTTTCCTCAATATATTCAAATATACCTCCCACCTGATCGTACCAATTAAACTTGTTTTGCTTCCTCGTGGAGGAAGCTATGTAGTCCTTTCGTTTATAAAATTTTTAAAAATGGTGAAAACAAATTTTCCTCTATATAGAAACATGTTATATGAGATCCTGATCAATTGTCCGGATGTATGTATGTGTGTGTGTATGTGTGTGTGGATAGTTTTTGTGAACACGATATCTTTAACAGGTTTTAATGGATTTGGGTAAAATTTGGTAGGCTTATTTAACACATTAATCTCTCAAAAATGACGAGAGGATTTTTAAAAATACCCCAAAAAAAAAATTTTATCGTCTTTTTTCCAAAAATTTTTTTTTATTTGAAAAAATTTTTAAATCGAAAAATTTAAGGTAATATATAATATAATCGTCTTCTTTATGTCAAGATGAATCGATTGATATATATAAAATATAGATTTGATTGAAATTTAAAGAATTAATGAAAGTTAAAAAATCAAAAATTCTCATTTTAGCTAAAAAATGATGTGTTTATTTAAATTCATGTTTATATATGAAATAATTTTATTTCCTGCATTGAAACGAATTGGTTGGTATATATAAAGTATAGATTTGATTGAAAATTTGAGAATTAATAAAAATTTAAAAATCGAAAATTCATATTTTAGCTAAAAAATTTTGTGTTTTTTTAAAATTCAAGTTGATGAATAAAATAATTGTATTCCTTGCATTAAAACGAATCGATTCGTATATATAAAGTTTATGTTACACTCAAAATTAATTAAAATTTTCTTTATTTTTCAAAAAATTTAATTAATTTAAAACATTTTTAACTCGAAATTTTTTAAATCAATCAATTGAATTGGACAAATTCATTGCTTCCTTCACGAGGAAGCGAATTTTTTGCTTCACATAATGAGGAAGCATAATGTTTATGAAATAAACATAAAGGACCCCCTTCTTGTTTTCTATTATTATTACTCGGGGCTAAAGTTTTTAATCTAAAAAACAGATTTTAGGATATCGGTCATTTTCCATCAATAATATTTTTTCTATTAAATTTAGAACGAACTTAAAAATAGTGACAGATAATCTAAGAACGCCTATCTCTAATCTTACTGCATAATTGGGTTTTTTTTTTGGTAACATTAAAATTTTTTTATAGAATGAATTCTGAATTATTTTTAAATCTTCAAAATATCTCAAGCCCCAGACTTGAATAGCATAGGTTATAGATTACTCACAGTAAGACTTTGAAACAGTTTGTTAACTGGATTCCATGTTTTTAAATTTAGTCGATTTATTAAGGAGACTGTGGCTCCAAGAGCCATGTTTGCTTTACTGATAGCATTGTTAGTTTCTTTGTTAAAAGTTGCCGAATTAGAGAAAGTAACACCTAAGTATTCATAGCTTGGGACTATTTCAATATTTTGGTTCGTGCCGTAAACAAACGGCCCATATTTAGAATTGTGGTTTTAGTTTTTTTAACATTTATTTCTAAGTTGTTACTGAGACAGTACCCCTTTAATGCTTTTAAGATTTTTTTCATATTCACACAATTATCAGCGAGGATTGCTATATCGTCCGCATACGCAAAAAGTAATATTTCAACTAAATGGTTTATGGAGACTCCTCTAATTCCTTCCGCCTTAAGGTATTTCTCAAAGTCAGCGATAAAGCAAGAAAAAAGCAAAGGGCTCAGCACTTCTCCCTGTAAAAGCCCTCGAGTGACTTTGGTGTACTGCGACATCCCCGAAGACCCCTTAACAGCAATAGTAGTTTTCGAGTATAAATTTATTAAAATATTTATAATCTTACTACTAACGCCCATAATGGACCACCACGAAAATCCACAAATAGTACAAACAACTTTCCGCCGGCGGGATTCAAACGGGATTATATAATAGCATTAAGTGAAAAAATGTTGTCAATACAGCTTCTATTTTTTCTGAATCCCGCTTGCCACTCCGGCAGAAAATTGCTGTCCTCTATCCACTTGTTCAATCTTGTAGCTAGTATTTGAGTAAAAATTTTAGTGATATAATTTACTAGAGCAATGGGGCGGTAATTCGCAGGGTCCGATTTTTCTCCTTTTTTATAAATCATTTTAGCCAAAATATTTGACCAAGTATTCGGAACCTCCTCCCTATCTAACACTTTATTAAATAAAATTGATAAATAATGAATCCAATTATCTGGGAGATTTTTCCAAAACTCGTTTGTTACCCCATCGGAACCCGGCGCCTTACCGTCCCTGCATTTCTTAAGACTCATTATTATTTCGCAATCACTAATTCTACCGTTTAAATAAGGGTTGCTCACGGGAAATGTGAATCTCAGAGTACCCCCTGTGACAACCCGTGCATCGAGATTTGTTATATTTTTAATTTAATTAATAGAGGGGTCCGACTCGTCCGGGAGGCACAAATTAGTCCACAAGGATGATTCTTTAACATCTTGAAAATTTTCCCATTTGGCAGCAGTGAACGATGCACAGTGGGCGAAAATACTATAGAGCGCGTCAAAATTATTTCTCCGGCGCATTTTTCATAATATTATTATGTTCAATGGCTTAAAACACAGCTGAAATATTAGGCTACAAGATCTGCCTGCTACTTTTTTGATATAACCAATGAGAATTTTATAAATCCCACTATAATTAAAAAAAAATATATTGTAAATTGTTATAATTTTGAATAACTTACACAATTTTCAACCGATTTTAAAAAAATTTAACATCAAAGCACATTTATGGTCACTAATTACGTATCTTAACACAAGGTTTCAAAATTCAAAATGGCGGAAAATTTTCAAAACTGAAGGGATCATTAAACCTTTTGGCTCTCGGGGGTTATTAGGGTCGCTGATTACGAATCTGATCTCAGATTTTAAAAATTCAAAATGGCGGATCCAATATGTCCGACAAAATTTTAAAATTTATTATTTTTGGTTCATTCTTGTTACTTGGGGGTTTTTGGGGTCGCTGATTACGAATCTGATATTAGATTTTTTAAATTCAAAATGGCGGATGCAATATGGCAGACAGAATTATAAATATTAATTATTTTTTGTTCATTCTTGTTTCTCGGGTTATTTTTGGGGTCGCTGATTACGAATCGGAACTCAGATTTTCAAAATTTAAAATGGCAGCTCCAATATGGCTGACAGGATTATAAAATTCCATTTTTTTTATTGAATTTTGTTAGTCGAGGTTTTTGGGGTGCCTGAATACAAATCTTTGCACAAATTTTAAATATTTTAAATGATGCGATGGATCTAATGTGGCGGACATAATTTAAAATATTAATTGTTTGCGGTTTAATCTCGTTGTTTGGAGGTTTTTGGGGTCGCTGATTACGAAGCTAAACT